GCGCCCGGGGCGCCCCTCTTCCTCCCGCTGGCGCTCCGGTTCTGGCTGGTAGCGGGCGGCGCGGGGGCTCCGGCGCGCTCCCCCGGGGCCATAGAGTCAGGGCTCCCGGAGCGGGCGCTCAGCGGCTCGGCCTGCCCGGAGTCTCGGCGGCTCGGCGCCGGCTGGGTCCCCGCCCGCGGGCACGGCAGAGGCTGCAACGTGAGTGGCGCCCTCCCGCCGGTGGCTCGGCATGGAGCGGGGCTCCGAGGAGCGCGGGGTGTGCTGGGCGCTGCCGCGGTGGTGGGTCTCCCAGGGCCGCCACGCTCCAGCCCCCGCGGGGTCCCTCGCGCACCCGCCGCCCCCGCCCCCAGCAGTCGCCAGGATTCCCTCGCTCCGGTTGTTATGGTGACAGCTGCGCCGGTGAATGAGCGTCTTAGTGACACGCGCGCGCCCGCTCAGCCAGATGTGGCCCCCGGTGCGCCGCGTTCCCGGCTGCCACTAGTCCTCCGCGGCCCGAGGGGGGTGGGGGGTGGGGCGGTCCCTGGGCCCGAGTTGGGGTCAAATATCCGGCAGAGATTGAGGCTCCAGGGGTTGGGTTTATTCCTCTCACCAACAGTGGAACTTGGTCCTGAAAACAAGGGAAACTGTACAGCAAGAACGGTGAGTTCCCTGGGTGCCAGGCCCGGGGCGAGGTAGCCCTAAGTTCCAATTTCTCTAGCACCAGGTTCAGTGCTCGGCACATAGTAAAACTCCAGAAAAAAGAATTTTTATAGAGTGGATGGATGACTGAATAAATGAAGTGAGATGAGGAATCCCAGCGCTTGACCCTTTGCTCTCAGTCAGATCCAAGGGGCGCTGGGACAAAGGCTCAGAACAAGAACACCAGGCTGTTCAGTTACGGGACACATAGCGTTGGGGGGTCTTTAGATGAACACAGACTGGACCTAGGAGATGGGATGGAGGGCCAAGGTGTGGGAACAAATCTCAGGGACAAACTGTCAGAGAACCACCAAATCTGAACCAAGTGGCTCTGTCAGCTCTCAGAGGTGGGGGCCTCTGTGGCCTGCAGCAGTCAAAGAAGGCTTCCTGGAGGAAGGGGCCTTCAGCATGTCACCTGTTCACATGACTCATCCATCCTGGAGCTCAGCACTGCTACCAAGGACCTGCAGGAAGGGAAAGGGAGTCACTCTCCTCCTGCCTAGACATGGGGGTATCTCCTTCTGCCTGTCTTATCAGGGCTAGAAGGTGAGACAGGTTCCCCCCAGGACAGAGAATCTGCCTTCCTGCTCCTCTAGATCACCTCTAGCTCCCTGACTGGCTTACAGCAACTCTGATCCAGAATCCAGAAAGGACGTGGGCTGGCATCAGGCATCTTGTCCATCCTCTTCTGGAAGTTTCTTTCCTCAAGTCTCCATATGACAGCTCCTCAATATTCAGGCACAGTTCTTGTGTCACCTCCTGACCTTCCCTGACTGCCCGCCCCAGCTAGAGAACCCTCACCACTCTCAGTCATGTTCCATAGCATTACTCTATGTTATCTTCTGGAATTAGTTTGAAAGTAGCCTTTCCCCCTGGTTTCTGTTGTGCCTCCCCCACTAGAACATAAGCTCTGTGAGGGGAGAGAACAGGACAACTCCATTCACCATGATGTCATCAGTCCCCAGGATTATGCCTAGCACATGACAGACTGTCCAAAAATGCTTGTGGAATGGGTGAATCGCCCTGCCTGCCAGCAGAACTCCACCGAGAGCCCTGGGAGGAAAGCCTCTGAACCACCATTTTCTCCCTCCCCCGCCCTCCACCCTCACCCCATTGCAGGCATCACATCCTTAAATGCCTGGGACTCCAGGTGAGCTAGAAATATCCTTGACAGCTGCTCTCTGGGGTCTGGAGGGAAAGACAGCCCCCACCCCTGCCCCCAGCCTCTTAGATGCCCAGGATCATGTGCCCAGCCAGCTGCAGAATGGACGTGGCAGGTCAGGGGTGCTGTCTTTTTTGGGCGTATCTCCCCCAGGCTCACTCCAGCCAATGACTCATGCATCAGAAATCCATGGGCTCTGAATGGCAGCACACTCACACATTTGCACACACACCTCTACACTCTCTCACACACTCACTTCTACACAACACAAGCACACACACACTCTCTTGCACTCATATACCCCCTGAAGTCTGCTGGAATGAGGTCACTGTGGGCTACTGCTGACATCGGAATAAATCTGAAAACTCTGTATAGATGATACTAATTCCCCCGGAGTGTGGGCCAAGTGCAAGCCCTTGGTAGGATTTGCCAACAGTGGCTTGCGGGAAGGCTCATCGCCTCCTTCCCTTCCTCAGGAGGAGGGGCTGGGGCATAGGCCAGGGATGGGGGTGGGGTGAGGCCCCGAAGATAGAGGATGGCAAGGAGGTCACAGGCCCCACGTGGTCTAAACTTGGGGCTGTGGGCCAAGCAGGGGAGAGATGGAGGAGGTCAAATGGAAGGGAAAATGAGGGGACCAGACACCGGTGCCTGCCTGAAGAGTCCAGAGGCTCTGCAGCTCAGGACAGGCTGATCCGGGGGAGCCGCACCGGAAGGTGAGAGGCATTAGGGACCAAGGCAGGGAACTGAGGGCAGGACAGAAATGTCCCCTGATCCCAGAGGGTTGAGGAGATAATGAGAGTATCAACAGGGCTGGGATTAGGATGAGACAAGGGAGGCCTCCCTGGTGTGAAATGTAAGGAGGCACTCGCTCTCAGCATCGTGCAACACCAACCCTGCGCTTGCTCAAGCTTAAGCGTGATGCCTCTGAAATCTTGTACCCCATGTCACCTCCCTAGACTGGCCCTTGTTTTTCCAAGGAGTTCTGTGCTGTGGGAGGGGACACCACTGTCAAGTGCAACTGGCTGGAAGTCTCTGGCCAGGCAGGGACCTAGAGGAGGTAGGTGTGGCTGCATGGGACCCAGAGCAGCTGAGAGTGACCCCTCTGACAGGTCCTGTGCCTCAGAAACCCTTTCCTGGCAGGGGTGGTTGGTTAGGCCCAGCTCAGAGGAGCAAAGAACCACAGCACACCCCTCCTCCTGGACCTTGGATGGAATCCCTGAGGCCTTCAAGCCATCCTTCACCAAGGCGGCTGCCAGGAGGCGGGGAAGCAGCCTGTGCAGCCGAGGGCCCTTCCCAGCCCCAATCAAGAAGGGAGGAGGGAGAAGGAACCAGCCAGGGAAACGGCTGGCTGGATGAAGTCACTGTTTTGGTGGCTTCAATGGAAGCTATTAATACCCATAAGGTGGTGCTCCAGCACCTGTCACCGTGGCAACCCCACCTCCCCAGCAGCGTAGATTCTGAAGGCGCTGCCCAAGGAGGTGGGTGTCAGTGCATATGTGTTTGGCTGTGTGTACACATGTGTCCGTGTGGGTGCTGTGAGCTCTCACAGCAACGCGCAGGAGAGGAAGGACCCCAGGCAGGGACTCAGTGTGGAACCGGGGCTCTTTCAGCAGCAGCTCTGGCCCCCAGTCCCCCCTTCTCTCTCCCTCGTTTCTCTCCCTTCTGGTTGGCTCCCTTCTCTCTCCCCCTCTCCCTCCCTCCTTTTGTCTTTCTCCCCTTCTCCCTGCCCTTCCCTGCTTCTCTCCATCCCCGTCACTTTCTCTCCTGCTGTCTCTCTGCCCTTGTTGCTCCTTGCTTGGTCTCCTCCTGCTGGCTCACCTCTCCCTTCCCCTTCTTTCTCACTCTCCACAGCTCCCAGATCAGTTCAAGTCTTGAAGCGTCTCCATGTTGATAAAATAATAAAATATTTGACTGAGAACCTCCTTTCTTCCTTCCCCGAGCCCCTGGAGACTGAGCCCAGAATGAGCCGCAGGAATGGTCCCCCACCAGGCAGGCAAGAGTGGAGTTCATCTAGGCCAAGCCAGGCTCCCCTAAACTCGAGACCATCTTCGTCAACAGCATGACACTTCCCTCCCTGTTGAGAAACTAGCCTTAAAACAGAAAACAGCCACAGCCACCCCTGGCTGGGATACAAGGCCCCTCTACCATCCTCTGAGGCCCAGCCCATAGTTATCAAGCCATCAGAAAACATGTACAGAAGTTGTCCTGCTTGAACTGCAGGGGGCAGCTGGACATCTTAGATGGGGAGATCCCTGAGTTCATAGTAGATTCTTAACAAATATTTATTCGTAACAAATATTTATTCAACAAATCAATGAATCAATAAGGCAGTGAATTAACCTATCAATACAGCTACCCAGTAAGCCCAAGAGCCTTGTCCAGAGCAGTCTTTCTGGCCAGTGTCCTTCTCAACAGTACCTTTGCCACAAAGTTTTCCCTGAGGCCAGGCCTTTCCTCTGAATGATGGGAGTCTTTGCTAACCATCATAGCATGGAATGGCCACCTTACTGCCCTGTTCCTAGGCGCTTTGGGATTCAGCTTCATTCATCGCTCCAGTGACCGTATTGAGCACCGCCTGTATGCCTAGAACTGTTCGAGGTGCAGTTTCATTGCCAACACTATGGGGGAGCCTGTCCTGTGCTCTTGTGTACTCCAGTCCAGTTTCCTACCTCCCAGGACTAAGTTTAGTGCTGAACACACTAGTAGTTCTCAGTATTGTCAAGACGTCCGTTCTTCCCAACTCGATCTATAGATTCAATGCATCCCAAGCAAAATCCCAGCAAGTTATTTTGTGGATATCAACAAACTGATTCTAAAGTGTATAGGGGGAGGTAAAAGACCCGGAATAACCAACACGATATTGAAGGAGAAAAACAAAGTTGGAGGACCGACACCACCCAACTTCAAAGTTTACTATAAAGCT